CTCTCTCTCTCTCATGCGTTGATATCCTTCAGCACAACATAAAGACGGGAAAAGACGGCCAAACGAACGACCAGTGGATAGCGTTCTGTCGCTTCCATTTGGCCGAACATAAGGCGGCGCTCGAAATGTACACCACTTTGGAGTCAGAGCTGGAAATAGCTTTGTGTCAGTTCTATCTCGGAATGTATTCCGAAGCCAAGGCCAGCGCCGAGAGGGCCGCCGACCGCTCCTCTCCTCTCTTCAATCGACTGCTCTTTCATTTGTGCCATAAGTTGTCTCTCGAGACACAACTCGTTGAATATCACCAAAAACTTCAGGTCTCACTCTTTGCTCTTAGTTTCCTAATTATTCCACAATTATTCCCTTTGTTTGCCTTCAGGACACATATGAGGATCAGTTGTGTTTGGCGTCCATTCACTTCCTGCGAGCCCACTATCAGGAGGCCATCGATGTCTATAAGAAAGTGCTTCTGGAGAAGAGGGAGTTCCTGGCGCTCAACGTTTACGTCGCTCTCTGTTATTATAAACTCGATTACTATGACGTCTCTCAAGAAGTGTTGTCCCAATATCTGCAACAATTCCCAGAGAGCGTTACCGCAACTAATCTCAAGGCTTGCAATCATTACCGGCTTTATAACGGAAAAGCCGCTGAGGTTTGGATGACATTCATCTTCCAAACCAAGCGTTTAATTGTTTGCTGTCTTTCACTTTCATAGCAAGAGCTGCGGAATCTGATTGACACGATTCCGCCCACTTTCACGTACGCTCAGGACCTGATCCGTCATAATCTGGTCGTATTCCGTGGCGGCGAAGGAGCCCTTCAAGTGTTGCCCCCTTTGGTCGATGTATTGCCGGAAGCGAAACTCAATTTAGTTATTTTTCATCTCAAAAATGGTATTGACTGTGAAATGACATGTATTTTGATTTTAAAACCATCTCCTATTCGGCTGCAGATAACGTGACTGAAGCCAATCGTTTGATCAAAGATTTGGAGGCAACTCTTCCTCATGAGTATGTTCTCAAAGGAGTGGTCAACGCATCGGTCGGCCAAACGCAGGGATCGCGGGATCACTTGAAGACAGCGCAGCAGTGCTTTCAAATGGTGGGCGGAAGTGCCTCCGAGTGCGACACAATCCCCGGCCGGCAGTGTATGGCCTCGTGTTTCTTCATTCTCAAGCAATTCGACGACGTTTTGCTGTATTTGAGTTCAATTAAGAGCTATTTCTATAACGACGACACCTTTAACTTCAATTTCGGTCAATCAAAGGCCTCGACCGCCAACTTCAAGGAGGCCGAGGAAGTGCTGCTTCTGGTCCGCAGCGAAAAACTCACCAACGATTACATCTATGTGTCCTGGCTCACACGATGCCGTACGCTCTCTCTCTTTCTCTCTCTCTCTCTTTCAGGTCATATCAAATCACATCATTAGTACACG